CCCCCCCCCCCCCCCCCCCGGCCCCCAGCTGGCCTTGGAAGAGGGGGAGGGATAGATGATCTGCCCTGGGGTGCTATAAGAATGTGCCCCTCCCATCCCCCACCCATTTTGCCCTCCTTGCTCCGCCTCCCTGACAGGAGGGCCTGGCAGGCAGGGTCAGTACATTGGGACTTGCCCTGATCTGCATGCTGGCGGGAGGGAGGTTAGGTTCCAGGAGTTTGCCCTGGTCTGTGCACCTGGTGCTCCTACTTGAGAGCGGGGTCAGGGCATGGAGGCTTGCAAGCCCACAACCCCGCTTCCTAGCAGGAGCATGAGGTGAGTGGAACAAGGCAAGCCCCCAAGCCGTCTCCCCTGGTCCAGCTGGAGCACCAGCTGGAGAAGGGCAAGCCCCTGCGCGCCAGTGGGAGCAGACAGAGGACTAGGGGCAGCTGGGCCTGTATGTTAAGTGGGTGGGCCCTGACCCATTCCTGGGTATATCCCTGTTACATAAGAACACTTAGTGCTGACTGGAGAATAATTAAATTCATATATATGTAACAAAGACAAGTATAAGAGTGCAAGTGAAGGGATAGAGGTAGCACCAAACTGGAGAAATACTTGAGCGGAAACTGGAGGGAGGAAGTAGCCTGACAGATCAGACCAGGGATTGGAGGTGGCGATGTAACCTATAGAACTAACCTGCTTCCTTGCCTATAGATATATACATTTATTATTGCCTTATGGTTTTGATTATAGGTTTATTATAATCAGAGCTTGCTGAACTGCAGCGAGACCCGCTTGCCAGCCGCGCTGTCCGGCGATCTGTGCATGCGCCAACAGAATCTGGCAACCCTGCGTGTAGACAACATCTCATGGGCCACACACAGCACCTTTGTCGAGCCCTGATTATAATGAGTTACAGTAGGTTTATACTGGCAGCTTGGCTGTAACACAAGAGACTTACAGGCCACTTCCTAAAAACTGAGTTAAGGCAAAGTTAGTATTTTTGTCTGGGAGCTTTCATCCAGATAGTACAGTTAACTCACATATATTCGGGGTCTTTCACCTAGATAGATGGCGGTAAGATAGAGCAGTGTTTCTCAACTTTTTAAAATAAAGTACCCCCCTTTTAAAAACAAAATTATAAGTACCTCCAGAGCCAGGCACGCTCAGGTCCCCCGCTCTAACCCAGTGCCCCTTCCCCAGAGCCAGGCACAGGAAATACGGTAACCCTACCTTTGAAGGCCCTGCTTCCGCCGCCCGGCCCTGCCTTGGTGGCTTGTCTGCAGGGAGCAAGTGGTGCCAGAGCTTTCAATAGTGCCACAGTTTGAAGCAGTGCCGGCTTTTCTTGCCATGCCAGGTGTTTAGAGTGTTCCTGGGACAGCTCAGAGGCAGTGCACACTGGTCCCGGTGCGGAATGCGAGGATCTTCCCACTGCTTTATTAGCAGGGGTCCTCGTACTGCCATGCGTCTCTCCCCTGCTTTTCAGGGAGGAGGAAGGTGGGAGAGAGAGTGAAGGTGAGGCTCTCTGCCTTGTTACAGCTTTGGGTGGCAGGGGGGAGGGTGTGCGTGTTCCTGCTGCGGTTTCCCGTGTTCCTCTGTAGGCTGTAGAGTCTTTTCAAACAAAATCATCCTCAGGCGGAGGTATGCCTGGAATGAGGCATACCTGGGAGGTTGACAAATGCCTTTGATGTTGACTGCAGAGCATCCAGACTACTGAGCTGAGCCGACAAACAGCGGATTGGCTCAGTACGGCAGCCATGTAAATTTAAATGAAGCGGCGATTAATTAAATTGCCACTTCATTTTCCTATGCCGGGTAGTCTAATCTACATGCCTCTGTCACTAGAGGCATGTAGTCTAGACGTACCCCTAGTGTGGAGCACCCACGGGGACACTACACAAAGAACAACTTAGCAGGTACATTGTTATTTAGAAAAACCCAAAATAACTGGTTGAGACCAGACTGAATAACTGAGTAGGACAGAAACAATAAATGTGATAGACAACCACAAAAGGCCCATGGTAACAAACTGACATATATAATAAGTTGAGATCAATGATATACAGACCTATTGGAAAAAGATACTTTATTAGTAAGGGGAGGAAATACAAATAAAGAAAAAAGAACACACCCCCTACAGAATATACGTCAAACACAGCATCAGAGTAACATATGATAAAAGTGGCATCCCAGCCTAGGTATTATAGTAGGAGATGCAGTCCTTAGGGAAGTGCCAGAATGATGGCCACTGGTGATGATGGTGGGAATGCAGGTGATGATGAAGATTATGGCTAACACCTCAGGTTATTCTAGAAGGAATGATCTGAGTATATGTATAGAAATATAGATGTACATTCCCTATTTATCTTAGGGAACTGGGTGGTTTGTGACTGTGCTAAATGTATGAAGAGACTATATTTGAAAATATAGAATAGTTCCTATAGTGCAGTGTTTACCAACCAGCAGATCGGGATCTACTGGTAGATCTTGAAGCCTCTGACAGCTGATCCTGACTGGTTTGGCCAAGAGGCTATCGAGGTGCTGGCACTTCAACTGCCTCTCCCGCCTATTTCTGTGCACCTCCTGCCCTTTGCCTTGGAGCTGCCTCCCCCCACCTCCGAGAGCCTCCTGCTCGCTGTGCAGGGCAGGGGAGGAAGAAAAGGGGTGCTGATGTCAAAATGCCCCCTCTTCCATCCTGTATCCTATATCTACAGAGCAGGACAAGGGGGAATAGGATTTGGGAGGGAGTTTGCTGGCTGCTTTTGGGATGGTACCACAATCCAGGAGCTACCTGAGGTAAGAGGTGCCCAGTTGGAGCCCACATCTTGAAACCCTACCCGTGTCACGATCCCCCTTCTGCACCCCCAGTCCCTACCCTAGCCCTAAGTTCCCAGTATCCAAACATTCTCCCAGAGCCTGCACCTAGAAGTGTCATGATCCCCCTTCTGCACCCCCAGCCCCTACCCTAGCCCTAAGCTCCCAGTATCCAAACACTCTCCCAGAGCCTGCACCTAGAACGCCCCGACACCCCAACTGCCTGCCCCAAGCTCAGCTCAGAGCCCCCTCTCACACTCCAAATCCTTTAATCCAAGACCAGAGAATGCAACCCAACCCGCTATCCCAGCCTGGTGAAAGGGAGGGAGGGAAGATGGAGTGAGCAGGGGCAGGGCCTTGGAGAAGGGGCATGAAGGAGGCAGTGTAAGGGGGTATTTGGGTTTGAGGTAGATCTTGGCTTGCACTTAAATTCAAAAGTGATCTCATGCTTGAAAAGGCTGGAGACAACTGCTATAGTGTGTGTGTTCCATTTGTACACTTCAGGGTTCCCAACCATAGAAAAACTGCATACCGGGCCTGATCCTGGGACAAAGGACCTGTCAACCCTAAAGGAACTGCTATAGTGCGTGTGTTCCATTTGTACACTTCAGGGTTCCCAACCATAAAATAACTGAATACCGGGCCTGATCCTGGGACACAGGACCTGTCAACCCTAAAGGTGGTAACTGGAAATTCATAAGCAATCTTTGATCAGGCAACAGTGATGATCACCATAAAATACAGGAGAACTTCTTGGTAGCTCAGAATTTGGTAACTTGGGTCTCTATTTTATCTTACTCATCATCTATACCTGAAGTTTTATAAATAAAGGTGAAAATGATTAAGCCTGAATTGGATAGATTCAGACTCAGATTTTAAGGTCAGAAGAGACCAGCATGATCTTCTAGTCAGAACTACTGAGCCATTAGAAGCCACAAAACCGTGCCCCCTTTCCCCTGTAATAGGCCCATGACTGAGTTACTGAAGTCCTCAAAACCTGATGTCAAGACTTCCAGTTACGGGGAAGCTACCATTTACTCTAGGTCATTTGCTGGTTTGAACTATGTCCCACATTGCGGAAGGCAGCAAAAAAATCCCAGTGTCTCTGGCAATCAGGCACAAAGACAAATTCCTTCTTTATACCATCATTTACTCTAGTTCAAACCAGCAAATGACCTATGTCCCACATTGCAGAAGGCAGCAAAAAAATCTGAGTGTCTCTGGCAATCTGACACAAAGACAAATTCCTTCTTTATACCAGTTTCCTACCACGCAACTCCCAACAACAAAAAGCACAAAACCTTTTTCTCATGAGTCTCCATGAGAATTCATTTAATTTTTGTCTACGGGTCTGGGAAATAAATAAGAGATTAATCTAGATAACCACTGCTAAAATTAAGGCTCTATATTACTGCAAGTAGTATTACTTCAGAAACAGAAGTAGTTTACATTAGTCTAATTTATCCTAACTATATTCACACAATACCTTAAAGTGCGCTGCTGTATTTCAACATCATCAGACCTTTTCTCCTCTGGAGAGCAAACTTTCACTTCCCCCACTTTCTTCAACTGATTGACAACTGTACCTTTGTATTAAACAAAATAGTCTTTAAAACTTTAAAAATGAAACTAGGAGGCCAAAGATCAGATCATACAGATCAGTGACAATGAAGTAAATAGTGGAAGTATGCACTACATAATTTTTAGCAGGACAAGTTTATGCCTTCTACAAAATTGTTTTTCATGATTGACAGATATCAGTTTAAAAAAAAAAGCCCAATGAACACTAGTCTCAAAAGGTAGTAAGATCTGAAACAAAAACAACAGAGATTAAATCACATTTCCTATTTTGGAGAAAACAAGTCTGAAAAACAAAAGGCTGGCAGAATGGATTCTATGGGGCAGACTTTCTTCTTTTGAGATCCAGGCAGGGAAAAAATGTGAAAACCCTGTGACAGAATATCCTAATCTGCAAGAGCAAAGATCCAAGAACAACAGAATCCATCCTGTTTTACAGAATAATTACAGGAAGAATCCATAATGCTTTATTCTACTTCCAAATGAAACGTACCAGAAGTAGGAGAATGCTCCTTCAGCATATGAAATCTTTTAGCCTTTTCCCTTTGAAACAACATATCTTGAGGTTTTTCAGAGTGTCTCTCTTTATTTTTTATTTCTTCCACTCTTTTAGAGGACTTCTGGATAAAGTTTTTTTTTCTCTTTAAAAACGATTCTTGTAAAGTACACGGTGTGGATGTGAACTCTAACAACATGACTGTGAAGGAGGAGGAAAGGTCAGTCTCAGCACTTCTGATTTTATCACTGATAATAGGTTTCTGCAGGTGATTATCTTAATATAGATAACCATCCTAAAAATGAGCTTTACTATTTTCATGGATTGAACCAGGTTGGAGAATTAAGAAATTTACTAAAACAGTAATTCAGATGTACAGTTCCTACATTTATAATAAAGCTAACCATCACGTATATATAATTGTATATTTTCTACATCTGTTATTAAATCTTATTATAAACACTAGGGTCCAAACTACAGACACTCAAAAGCACCAGGCAGAGTTTGTCCAATTCCATCTTTCATACTGCTTATAGTTCTAATACCCAGCTTGTCAGAGGATACTTATTTTAATAATTACCCAAAGTGTACTAGACACCCTTCATTAGAGGACTACACGATTAACTGATAAACCTGGGATTATTAGCTAATCCTGCTTACTACACACATTCCCACCCTCTCTCCCCTGTTGCCTCTGTGCCCCCTCTTTGCTGCTCTCCACATGTGCTGGCTCTGTGAACCCACCTGCTTCCACTTGCAGCCTCCTACAGAGGGTGAAGGGGGCAGGAGGGGAGGCTGCCTATTAAAGGCAGCAGCATGCGGGTAGGGTCACGGGGCGGTGGCAGGGGAGGCTGCTCTGGCATCCCATGGAGAGAGCTCCCCATGGACAGGGGCTGCTGCTGTGCAAAAGCTTCTGTCCATGGGGCACTTGGACACCTCCCCCTCAAGACAGAGGTTGCTGCCACCCTGCGCTGCTGCCTCTATATCAGAAGCAGCAGTGCGGGGCAGCAGCCAGTCTGTGCAGGAAGCCGATTTTTAAACCAGCTCCCCTTGCAGACCATCTCCCGCCTGCTACTCTGTGCTACTGCCTCTGACAGAGAGGCAGTAGTGCGAGGTGGCAGGGGACTCCCCGGGAGTGGAGCTGGAAGCGGAGCAAGGAGTGCACTGACTGCCAGTCCTGCTTCCAGGGACTATTTAATAGTTCTGTAACTGCTAAAATTTGATGCAGTTACACAACTAGGGATGTAAAAGAGTAGTCAAATACTCTTATTGGGTAGTAAAAGCCCAGGCTTATCGGGTAGTCGAGTTGACTATATCAGAGGCATCAAGGGGGACAGGGAAGCAGGAGCTGGTGCTGGGGGAGCCAGCTTAAAAGCTGGTTCTCCACAGCATTGTCCCCGTGGTGTGGGAAAGGAAGAGGCATGGGAGGCAGAGCTGCAGCATGGGAGCTAGTGCGAGTCAGGACTGAAACTCGCGCCAGGTGCAAACCTACTCTCGCTCTGCAGTTTAATGAGTAGGAGCTGGACTGCCTGCATGCCCAGCTCCTATTACGTTTAAACTGCAGAGCTGCAGTGGCCCCTTACTGACTAATCATGTGCTGGATACAAATTATATCAAGTAAACGATTACTCATTTACTCGATACTTGACATCCTAGTACATGAAAGGTAGGGATGTTAGATAGTGTGTGATTGAATGTACAGAAGTTACACACGAGTACCTGCAGATTGGTGTAACAGACTGATCCTCATTAGGAGTCTGAGCTATTGCAGAGCAGTCAGAAAGCATGGAAACCGAGTAATCTGCTTCTGGGTTTAAAGGCAAAAATTCTCTCCCCTGTTCCAAGACAGAAGAATGGATTGGTAAAATGTACTTAGAACACGCATCTATTTTAGTGAAGTAATATTAATGCAGCTCTATTTTTGTCAAAGAGCAAACAATTAAGGAGTGAATGGAATTACATCTTTCATTATTAGCACAGATGCAAGAAAAATTATTTAGCACACAACAGCCAGGCTCTTGGCACTAAAAGCCATTTTATTAAATAAAATTAACAAAAAAGCTGTGCCTTCCCCACAAAGCCCCTTTTTCTTCTCCTTCTTTCACCCAAACTCCCTCTCAAACCTCACACTGTCTCCTGCACCCCAGTCCCTTACCCCATGCATCTTTCTTTACGCAGCCTCCATCCTAGACCCCACATCTCCTCCACAGAAAAGTGCAGCCCTTGACCACTTTCCAAAAACTTAGAGTGGCCCCCCACCAAAAATTATTGCCCATATCTGTTCTAAAGCATATTATTTATTTTTTCATATCCAGCCAAGTTTGAACTCATCCTTTGAGAACACAAAGCATGACAGCTAGTGACATACATAGTGGTGGATTTTATGAAATAGGTATGTGTCCCTCATGAACTGAACCAAGATCAATTAATTTAATATATGTCCCTGAATTGCTGTCAGCTACTCAAGTGGGTGGAAATCAATGACAAGGGTACAAGGCCCTTCATCCCACAGACAGTCTCTTGAGCCATTTAGTGCTTTTGACCATTTTATTCCTCTGTTTCTCAAGCTATAATTCTTACCAAACTCCAGAACATCAGCTAGCACTACACGGAATTCCTAAACTACAAACAAATCCAAACAAGAAGTCTCAGTGTTCCAGCATTTCACTCTTTATGCACTATAGTCTGCACTTTTAAGAAAAATTACAACTAAATACCATGTTTGCTCTTTCAACAATTTTTCTTTTTGAGTTTTCTGTTGTTTCAGGGCTTCTTTATGTCTCTTCTCTGCTCTTTGTTTCCTTTCCTCTGCTTGCTTTGCCAGAGCCACCAAATCAGGTTCCTTTACAATAAAATGTAATGAATGTTATAATAAACACTTTGCCCAGATTCTAATTACTTATAATACTATTAACATGATAATTCAAGTATTGCTGCTGACAAACAGCAACTTATATGACTGCATTAAACACAATGACAAATTTCCATGCTACAAGAATCAAAATCCTCAGGATAATCATTTCCCCTTATACCAGGCGTTCCCAAACTTTTTGACATGGGGACCAGTAAATCCATTCACGAGCTTTTGGAGGACTGGTAACATTCATTTGCATATTCATTAAGCAAATGATAAATATGCAAATAAGTTATATCTGGTCCTCCGAAAGCCCCCAGTCCCAGCTTTAGCAAAGCTTTTGATACGGTCACCCACAATATTCTTGCCAGCAAGTTAAGGGAATATGGATTGGATAAATGGACTGTAAGATGGATAGAAAGCTGGCTAGACCAGGGTTTCCCAAACTTTTTACTTTAGTTGGAACCCTTTTTTCAGTACTCGTTTTTGCAGCCCAAAAATATAAATGCATATTTAAAAAAAAGAATGAAAAATGAATAAATTTCACTGTTTCACCCGGCTACATCCTCCGCCCAGCCTGGGCCAGGGCTTGGGGTACCCGGCGCCGCATGAGCACTCCGGGAGCCTGGAACATTCGGCTGCATCTTTCGCCCAGCCCAGGCCTAGAGGACTTGATGCTGCATGGGCACTCCGGGAGGCGGGAGCAGGACCAAATTGGGGGCAGAGTATCTAGCTAGGAGGGAGCATGCAAGGAGGGCACTTGGGTAGGAGTTGGACATCCCTGGTCTGGCACCCTCTGGACCGGATTCATCCCAGATGCATCCCAGATGAGGGATTTTAGTGACCAGGGCAGGTCATCTCAGGGCTCCTGGTTCCCCCCTACTCCACTAGGCTTCTTTGTGCCTCCCTCC